ATGTTTAGGGGTGTCCCTACTAGGACACTGCTGCCGTGGTGTAGACCAACCTAAAGCTAACCATGTAGTCCAGCATCTTAGGAGGAGGCACCCAGCTGACACCTGAGTGTCTGGAATAGGCTGCAGGGACATACACTGCAAAGAATCAATATTTTATTTCAGTGGCACTATGTAGCAGAAGGTGCTTTACAGGCAATATGTACTGGAGTTTCTTTCCCATGGGTAACAGGGAAATGGTATACAGCTGTTGAGGAGAGAAGAATACCATAGCCCAGGGGTGTCCAACCTTTTTGAATGTGGGGCGGGATGATGAACTTTTTATCACCCAGTGGGTCGGTGAGCCATATTCAAAGACCTCACAGGAAGCGGTATTACATCACCCCACTGAACCGATAGTACAGTGTTTACTTTCGTTTCCTGTCGCAGCACCTCGGGCCTCAGAAAACAGCTTGGCGGACCATATGGCAGCCTATGGGCCATATGTTGGACAAGACTGCCATAGCCAGTTGCCAATTCAGGGGGACTCAGGCTATTTATAATTCAACTAGACAATGGCAGTTTTGTCTCAGTGATTGTCTCAGGCCATGGGAGGAAGTAAGGATTCAGTGGACACTAATAAACACTGTGGTCTGCTCTAGGTGCACTCGCTAATGACAGTCAGTGAACAGCATTTGGGTCTTTTGTAGTGCTATCCACCTGAAAGGCTCAAAGTGCTTCATGGATATTAAGAACTAGGGGTCTCATACCCCTGGGTTCCAGGTATCAGCCCATTTGTCAGAAAGGAAAACCACCACACTAAGAGATGCATGTCAAAGCAACAGCTAGGAACAGAACTGGTATTTCCTGTGGCCACATCCCAGGATCAGCCCACAAAGCTCATGGCCATCAAATGCTGCCCTGTCTTTACTATAGTGATTGCTATGTGATCCTACAATAGTCTATATTTTGCTCTAGATTTTCTTCCATACCCTAGGAAGTATCCCGAAGTACTGGATTATAACTCTTCTTAGGGCTGTTTCCCTCATGACAGCCAGACTTGCATAGTGCCTAGTTCTGGCCATGTTTTCAAAGTCTTTGATAACATTTGCTTTGCTGCTGGAAACCAAAGTAGGTGAGTTTCTTGTCTGGCCTGCCTGTAAGCTCTATGCATGTGCCACAGGATCTTTCCTCTCAGAGCTGGGTGCAACAGCAAAATACCAGGTAGGCAAGAGCCCAGCTTAGCATAGTTCAGAGGATGAATTAATTCAGTGCTGGCAATGGCCAGATGAACATGTTTGTTTAGATTTATGTGGGCAGAAAAGTGTAAATCCTATTTACAGAATACTTTATACAGATTAAGGCTAAATTTAAGTTGAACAGATCACATTGCTGAACTGTGGTCATGGTGGGGGTGGGGGCTGTAGGTAAAGCTCATGTTTTCTGTAAGGACTTCTTTCCCATTACTAGCTTTCTCTTCCAGAGCTTGAAGTTATGATGAGTCATGTTGCTTTATGCTGCTTTAGCCTCTGTTGGTCTATTTGCTTTGTGATCTATGTGTTGTGAAAAATGTCATTTATCTTATTATTTGTTCATCTTTGAAGCCCAGCTATGCAGATTATCCACTAGACCGCCAGTAATTAGCATCTCAGTAGCAGTATGAAGAAATCTAAAAGTCTCTGGAACCCCTGAGGGAAGGCAATTGCAGGGATATACCTTTTTCCCTACAATTCCTCTGGCCACTGTCATTTAAAAAAACTTAGTTAACAATGTTATTTAGCACCTTTGGAAAATCCCACCCAGTTATCAGTTCAAGAAGCTTGCAACACCCTCAACTTTGAGATCTGCTTAAAATGGGCTCATGTAGCTTGGTTGGCCTCTAGGCACAGACTAGCTGTTCTGATCCCCTGTACAGCTCTACCTGAGGCCAAGGCGTACTACGCTATCTCATACAAGCTATAGCAGAGAAGGTCTGTCATCCGCCAACAGGAGAATGAGGAAGGAGGGAACCTGTACAAATGGAAAAGGCAATGTAAAGAGTGTGATTGGAAAAGCAACAAGGCAACAGAAAGAGGAAAGTGGCTTTTATTACAGACTGCGACGTGAAGCTGACAAGAAAACAAAGAGTAAGGAACAATGACAATGAAAACAAAGAGCTCTAAGTAACGAAGAAGCAAGGTCTTCTGCAAACAAAACATCCATGATGCAACTCCTGGTGGTTTCTTCCAGCAAAATCTAATTGAGATGAATGGGAAAAAGGAAAAAAACTACAAACAATTTCATGCAAATTTCCAGACCAAACCCCACCCCCCCAAAACAACAATATTTCGTTTTTCTTTTCTTGTATTTTTAATTATATAAAAAATAAAAATAAAATAAAGAAACACTCCACTGATGTTATTGGCTTGGAGCAGTTTTTCTCAGTGCATGTAAGGGCAGCAAAGAAACTATGAACTTAGCAACAGCATACAGTCCTCCCCTCCCAATGATCACCCTTCCCCCCCTGCCCCCCAGCCCTGTGACAAGTGATCTTAAAAAAGAAGCAGATGAAAAGCATGTGTGATACAGCACAAGCAACATGATCACAGCATTTCAGATAACCAGGCCTTGGTTTCAACTAGCAATGGGAGAACAGGTCTTAAAGAAACACAAGCCCAACTGAATTTCTGTGCCAAAATTAAAAACAAAACAAAACAAAGAACCCTCAAGATCCACCCATATGCACACGCATGAAAACACCTTTGCATTTTTCAGTTTCTCACCTCTGCTGTATTGGGTCACAGCTGTAAATGTCCTTGCCATTGCTTGGCAAGTCTGGGATCAAGAGGTATCGACAATCTTAGTAAACAGCCTGTCCACATCCATCGGGTTGCCCTTTTTTTGTACTAGCCAAGAGCTCTGACACACTAGGTATAAATAGCCAGAAAGTTGGGTGCTCAATTGGCTTCAGACCCTTTATCGTGTTTGCCCATTGCTAGTTTAAACAGATAAAGCTCCAACTGCTTATAACATATCAGAGAGAAGAATCCACCCTTCCCCTTTCATACTTTATATATACATACATACATATATATATATATATATATATGCTTGATAGACATTTTGTAAGAAAATAAATATTTCATCTGTCAATTAAAGATCATTTTTACTCTTCCATATCTTTGACATCATCTTGCAGCTTCTTCTCCGTGACAAGGACCATTACTCCCATCCCCACCCCTTTTTTCCCCTGCATATACATTCTCCCTGCCTTTAAGGCATCATCAATCATAGGCTCGTTCTTAGGAATAACAGGCAAAGGAGGACTTCTCTCTCTCTCTCTGTTTCCTTGTTTACTCTTGGACTCTCCAAGTCTGTTTTATGATTGTGAAATTTATGAAGAAGACATTTCCCTTTACAGCACCTAAATTGTTTGACAGAAGAAAATATCTTCATCTTAAAAACACTGTAAAAAGAATAAAGCTTCACCACCCTCCTCCAGTTCTTGCACTTAAGAAATATGGTTATAGATAATATATTTGTATAGATATAAGTATAACTTTTAGTTTTTATTACCAACCCGATGTTGTAGTTTGCAGTTGTTTATGTCATTCAGGATATGAGATCTTTCTTTCCCTCCCCCCCCTTTCATCTTTTTCCCCCTTAAAAAATGCACTTCAAATGAAAAAGGTGCTTTTCCTAAAATGTACTTAAGATGCTGCAGAAGTCTTAAGATCTGTGGCAGTTTTGTTAAGACCATACCTCTCAATCTAGCAAACATCATGAGTAGAGCACTGACCCTTTGAAAAGGGGCTGTTTTAAAGGACAAAATGGCAGACACAATGCAGATCAGGATGGGAAATGCCACGTGCACAGGGAGAAATACTGTCACGCAATTTGGGGGGGGTTTTCTGTTTTGTGTTTTTTTGGGGCTTTTTTTTAAAAAGGAGATTGGTGTGATCTCTGCTCAGCATATCCAATGCCTGTGAGTTATGGTAACCAGATGCGTGTCCTCAGCCAGGAGGACAAACTCAGCCTTAAAGAAGTGGAGACATCGACTGACCATGACACCAAGAGTGGGGTTGTGAGGAGTGACCAGGATCCTTATCTCTTCAGTAAACACTTGTTTTTAAGAACAATGTAAACCTTTAGGCTGATGCTCAGAAACATTTGAATGGCTCAAGCCTTGAGGCTTCTTGTTTTCACCAAAATGTGAGAACAGCAAATTATTTACATGAATTCATCTTCACTTTAAAGAAAAAAAAGGAACGAGCTGCCGCCCCTCTGTAAATCAAATGCAATACTACTGTGATGGCAAGGAAAAAGGGCTGGTGTCCCTAGCTCCCTTTTCCCTCACTTTGCAGGCTATTTCCACGTAGCCATTTATTTCTTTACTTTTGGAAATGAACATATTCTTGTCTCTCTGCAGAACCACAAGCTTTAAGTTAATTATACAAAGAGAAATGCCATATTCAAAATATACAGGATACGGATTATGTTGTCTATTTTTTCTTTCTTTTTCTTAGCCCAGGCAGGTGATTGGGTTGCTTCATGCTTCAGCCTTCATCACTGTGTTTTCTTGTGTGTGTTTGCATTTAAATTAAATCAGTCCAACAATGTACTTTTAAAAAAAGAGGAAGAACTAAATGAAATGAAATGAGGAGGGGAATGGATAAACAAGGAGACTGTGGACTCTGAGGGTTCTTTGCAGCTTCAAAATATAACTCCAGCATCCATGGCAGCATGAAGCTTTTGATAATTTTTGTCCACTTTCAAAAAAAGAGAGAGAGAGAGAGAGAGAGAGAGAGAGAGAGAGAGAGAGAGAGAAAATAATTCAAGCAATGTGCCTCTCCCACCTGCTGAAAGTAAAAAACCCCCCAAAAAACAGGCTCCAATTTATTCTTGCAATTCCCAATCTGTTTAAAAATATATGGCATCATTTCAAATAGAAGGGATTTAAAAAAAGAAGAAAAAAAAAGAAGGAAATGTGATGGTTGAAGGTGGCTGAAGACTCTGACGATCACTGGCTGGCTTTATTTTACTTGTATTTGAATGCTTTAATTGATCATTTTTTTATTTATTTTTATTTTTTTGTAAATCTTGTTTGTGTTTCATGATGATTTTGCCCTTTTTGAAGCCCAGTTGTCTTAGAGTCTGGGCAGGTGTGGACTCTGACTGAGTGCTGTCACTTCTGGTTTAACAACACTTTTGAGGACTGGTGTCCAGTGAGGTAACAGAGGAGGGGGAATCCCTCCCCCTGACTTCATCATCTCTCCACCACTTAGAACCCTTTGATGTAGCAATAGGCCTCCAGGGTGGCAAAAAGAATGTACAGTAGCCACAGGCTCACAAGGAGCAAAGTCGTGGCGAGTTTGCACCCCTTGGGGCCTCCTAGCTCCCCTCCGAGGTGAGGCCGTCTCCGATACAGCAGGATGCTGATACAGATGAAAGCAAAGATGGTGAAAAGTGTGACGGAGAAGGCCAGTGTGCCCGCTGACACGTGGAACTCTTGTCCCTGGGACGCCCAGTAGATGGCAGCCACTGACCATGCTAGTCCAATGCCCAAGAAAACATTGACGGCATTGCTGCCTGTGACGTTACCGATTGAAGCATCAGCATACACATCCTGGGTGGCAGCCGCTTTGCTGGCAAAGGTATCTAGAAGGGAAGAGATGGACATATGGAACAGTAAATAACAGCACTGAAATCAGGCTTCCTGAAGATGCAGCAGTTTTCCTGGTCAGTGAGCAGACGTGGAGAGCTGGAGCAGAACAGAAAGGGGGACATCATTTTGAGGGCACAAGGGAAAGACATGGGAATTTATGTAGCTGGAGAGGAGCAATATCATAATGACCTTGGGGGTCCCATGCTGTTTCAGTAGAGTCTCCTTGGATGTAATCCTTTAAGTGGCCAGGCACTTAGCCTGCAGGCATCTCCTGATCTTTATTTTGGGCTGCTACCTATAACCAATGCATACCATCCTAGCTCTGTTCACCGACAGCACTTGCTGTGGCACTTAAACACTTTTCTGCCTAGATTATGACTTCTCCTCTAGTTGCGAGCAGGACTGAGTGCTTGCAGTTGGTGCTACAGGCTGGCACTGTAGGGTCTCCAGGAAATGAGAATTAAGGGCTCATGGAAAGATCCAGCTTGACCATGTAGGCATGAAGCAGGGTGTGGATGGAATTTTGATGCCCAAGTTCCAAAGTGTGACACAGACTGTCCTGATCCACAAGCCGTAAACTCAAGATATGCCTAAATTCAGGCACTTACGCTTCAGTTTGGCCTGAAAAATTCTTTAGGTACCCAGACCTAGGCATGCACACAGGGGATCCATTTGATTACTCAAATTATCAAGCTCAGTTGTCAGCCAGATTTTTGCAAGTGTGCTGGGGAAGTGCTTAAGTTCCTGGAGATACCCTAACCAGTAGGCATGCTCTGAGCACATCTGATTCACACTGACAGCACTGAGTTCAGGCCCCAAATGGTGGTGGTGATCACGTCAACCTTTTCTTGAGTCCAATACTGGTTCCAACACTTAACAAGCAGTGGAAGACCTGAGTTCTGATCCCTACTGCCCGAGTTATTTCTTCTTTTGTGACCAAAGGCTGTCTACTGTAAAATGCAGACAGTCCTGGCAGAATGATTGGAACACAGGACTCCCACCTCCCACAGAAGGACCCTAAACACTAGGCTGCAAGTCATGCTCTCTTTTGGTTGTCTGTTGCTTTCTTGAATCGTTGGTTTCTGAATGGCCCAGCTTCAACAACAAGGGTGGAGCATGCCCCTTCCATACCTCCTCTGCTCCAAGATTATACTATAGGCCAGGGGTTAAGGCATTTTCCTGTGTACTAGACAATATGGGTTTGAACCTCCTTAGTCTGAGAAGAGCCCTGAACCCAGTTCTCCCATCTCCTGAGAGAGTGCCCCCAACCTGCTGGACAAAAGACAGGCGGCAGCATCACTTCATCCCCATTTAGGCATCTATACTTAGAAGCAGGACTAGGTATATTAGACTGCAAGTGAATGGAGTCACTTAATTTTCAGTCCAACACAGGCAAAGGAGTCCTTAAGAATGCAGGAATTCAGGCACACTTAGCACTTTCTATTGGTGACTTCTAAGTGCTGGTGGGCTTTCTGGATTGCCCTTTGGAGGCGTTTAAGTCTTCCCAATGACTGCATATAGGGCTGTCCCGGCCAGGGGCAACAATCAGCTGACTGGCAGCTCTGGCCCTGGACCACACTGGGGACTTGAACCATCACTAGTGCAGTCCAGGGCTGAGGCCAAAAATCAGCTGATTGTTGGTTCTGACTCCAACAATCAGCTGATTTTCATCCTGGCTCCAGACCACACTGGAGCCAGTTTGACTGCCAGTCAGATTTGGACCTATGGGCACTCCTCTTTCAACTTGCCGATGCAAGCAGTAATGGTGCAATTGGGATCTAATCCCTGATTCCAGACCCATGCCTCTTGCCATGCACAAATGGCATGGCAGGAGGCACATTTGTTGGGAGCAGGGATTAGATCTCATTGCCCTATTCAATGAACATGTGTCAGGGGCCATAGAGCGAAAACTGCCTGGTGGCCTTAGAGGAGGCCGGTCCCTATTGGCCATGATGTTGAAATCATGACAGAGGAGGTGATGCAGTTGCCAGGTTGTGTCTGATCACTGGCTATGAGAAGAGGACTTTGGTTTATATTGTCATTACTGGGTGCACAAAACACTCAAAGGACAGGGCTCCCCCACCTATGCCAAAACCAAATTTGGAAAACTCTCAGGTGGTGTGACCTGATTATCATGGAAGAAAACTGTGTTTCTCTTGTTTTTTCTTTGAACAATTGGATCAACTCTGATCTTATCTTCTAAGAAGCACCACAGGAACCAATGCTTCCCGAAATGCCAGAGCTCACACAGAGGATAGTGGAGTGAAGTAGCTGTGTCCTAGGATTTGCTATTCCTGACTGCTTAGGACTAGAGTGATAGCTATTATTTCCTTCCAGTTTCCTAGGCCTGCTTACCTGGTACTGAGGTGCCAAAGGCTACAAACACCACAGCAGTCACTGAGTCCTTGAGACCAATGGTGCAGCCAAAGTGAGAGGCAAGGTCTCCGATGACGGCAGTGAGCATGCCAATGATCATGATGGACACCACGAAACAGGCCCAGCCATTGCAGTACTCTGTTGGTGGTACGCAGGCAAAGAGCACCTTCCAGAAGACAGTCAGGAAGTGCATGACATAGTCAAAGCAGGATGGCAGGCGCTCCTCGCCGGATTCATCTTCATCTTCATCACCCGCTGCAACCAAATGCAAAACAAGCAAACAGATCACAGTGGGTTCTGTGAATGCCCAGGTTTCCAAGCCCTGCTGCCTTACGTAAGCTCATCCAGCACACAGAAGTCATACGGTTGCCGGTCTACTGAGCCTTCTTACAACAATGACATTTCAGTGAAATCACAGAGAAAAAGGGTTAAATCTCTGATCTGGCCACAGAAATCTGGCTGCTGCCTGGGTGGATTTCAAACAAGAAGGGTGTCAAGTGAAGCAACAAAGTGATATTCACTTTAACAGTATCATCCAGACCGTAGCCTAGAATCCAGCCAGTGAGGGCTCGGGGGAGAATGCTGCCTACTGCCCCATGTGAAGGAATAAGATGTTAAACCTCAGCTCTCCATGACAGCTGTACAAACTCAAAAAGAGATGGTGGCATAGTGCCATGTTGTCAGCAGCCCAGGAGATGAAGGGGAACCATGGATTCTATTTGCTTATGATCCTGTTCTAGGATATTTGCTGTGTAAGACAGAATACATGTTACCTAGGTTTTCCCTCTCACAGCTAGGTCTCCACTGCCTGCTGTATTATTCCCACCAACCAGTAACATTCAGCTGCAATGAAAGGAATGACAACAGCTTCTATATTCAGCAGCACAGCAGCTTTTATTGGGCTGCACCCAGGACCTGCCAGGAGGTCTGATCTAGATGTGCTTTAGCAAGTCAGCAGCTGCTGAATGGTTAAATTCTATCATCTGCCTGGGGAAAGCCAGCAGCCACATACATTTTCCTGAAAGCTGACATAGGGACCTTGCTCTAGCATTTTCATTAGTGCTTCTTTATGCTTGGCAAATAAAATTCTGTTTATTTTATTTATTCTCTGCTTCTCTGGGTTTTTTGAGAGGTGTGAAGGGAAGTATATGGGTCTTACTGGGCTTTCCAGTGCCCTGCAATGGAGTCAGGGTTCTTGAAAGTACCATCACCTAATGTCCCTACTGCTGTTCTGGTACCAGTATCCAGAGAGTACAACCATACTTATCACCATAGCAACTTAGACAGTACCAGGAAAAAAGTAAAGGCCAAACATATACTCCTATTTATCCTTTCGCAGAAAACAAGGGAGCATTTGAATTTGAAAAGCAATGCACTTTAGCAGAAAAAAACACTTTCTTATGCAATGTATAATTAGCCCATGAAACTCACTGTTGATTGGTACATAGGGGCACACAGCAAAGTAATATTGAAAAAAAGAAAGCAAAAGGGTGGTTAAAGTTTGGAACAGGCAACCCAGAGAAATAGTGGAAGCTCCCATCCTTGGAATTCCTTAAAAGCAAGTTAGACAAATGCTTGGCTTGGATAGTTTAGTCAGAAATGATCCTTTCTTGAGCAGGAGGATGGTCTAGATGGCTTTCTTAGGTCCCTTCCAGCCCTGTTTTCCTATGACTCTGTAAGCTTATATGACTACTTATAATATCTGACACTAGGTAGGATAAAATGACCAGGACTCAATGCTCATGTTTCAGGGCAGATGCTGATCACCAGTGTGAGATTAAGAAGGAAATTACCTATCTGGGTTCCAGTATGACAGAAATATATGCCTTACATGGCTGGCAAGGCCATTTTTAGAGAAAGTAAATCAAGTTGATCACTTGTCTGTTTCAGCAGGATGCTTTTTATAACCTTTATTATCAGTGGTGACGTGCAGGGAGCGCAGGGGAGCGTACGCGCACCCCCTGACAGGCCATGTTTCCCGCTTAGGCGACAGGCAGGGGGGGCAGGCCGGAGTGCAGGTGCTCCCCCTGCGAGTGCCAGCTGGGGAGTGGGAGCACCTGGATGAAACGCCGCAGCCACTTCTGGGAGCGGCGTGGCCGCTTCCTGGTCGGCGTAACTGGCCACGGAGGGACCCCCCTCAGTTGCTGACTGGTTGCGGGGGGTTGGGCACATGCCCCCTGACTAAGGTGGCACCAGTCGCCCATGATTATTATGCCTACCTCACTGTTAGTTCTCCCAGAATTAACCATGCAGATCATCCAGATACTGGCTGAGCAGTATGGACTCCCTCACACTGAAGTAAAGGATATCTGGGCTCCAGAATCGAGATCTAGTAGAACATTGTGAAGAGAGAGCTGCTCCATGGTACAGGCCCGGAGGTTTTGGAGTTCATGCAACTAAGCTGCCTACTACTCTCTGGGCCCAGATTTTTCTAGACAGTCTCAGAATTGCTGGATGACAAAATATGAACCTTGCTTGGCTCTTGGGTTTCAGGACTAGAGTCTGTTCCTTATGGAGAAACATAATGTGAGGCAAGTTCCTCAATTTAGTTGCTTGCTGGAGCACATAACATGGCACTGCTCTCAAAGGGCACCCACCCTGCAGGACCTGTGGGCATCCCTGTCTCTAGCACACATCCTGGATACATGCGAGTTTATACAGCAAGATTCTAAATAACTCCAAAAATATTTCTTCCTGCATGGAGGTCTAGGGAGTGGGGCAATAGCTGAAGGCAAATCCAATGTGGCTTGGTATAGACCAGTGCCACTGTCTGAGTCACAGTCAGTACAAAAAGGTGCTATGAGGATGGGAACATTTGCATGGGACGCCCTAACTGAAATAACCCAAATATATACCACTTGCCCACTGAAGCATGTCTATTCTCAGGACGATCAGAGAATGCAAATTGATTTCTGAGCACTTTGAAAAATCAACTCGTAGAACACTCTGCTCTACCTTAACTATGGAGCTGTAAGAGTGGCTCCAGAATATAAAGCTCCTTCTTCCTCAAAAAAAAAAAAAAGGAAATGCCTTAGGGAATCCTCACCGAATGGAGATGTCTGTAGTGAGGTTCTGCAGGGATTGATACCAGACCTGCTATCAACATTTCATCAATGATCTGAAGTAAATATAGAAATACTTCTGATAAAAATTGTGGATGACATAAAGAGTGGCATGGGAGGACAGGCTGGTCATAGGGTAACCTGAATTGTTTGGTGAGCTGGTCCCACTCAAATACAATACAGCTTTATACAGCCAAATGCAAAAATGTTGCATTTAGGTCTAGACAAACAAGGCTTTTAGACCAACACGGCTACAACCAACAACACATCTAGGTCTAGGATTGCAAACCATACTTCACAACGGGGGATAAGATTCAAGAAAGCATTGATTTGGAAACAGGTATAGGGGTCATAGTGACCAAGCCTCTTGATGTACACTCCCAGTGCAGTGCTCTTGCAAAAAAAGGACTAATGCAATTCTTGGATATACAAACAGAGGAGTGACGGGTAGGAACAGGGAGGTGCTTTTACCTCTGCTTATTGTGGCAACCAATACTGGACTACTGCATCAACATCTGGGGTTCACATTTTAAACAGGACAGCAAAAAAAATTGGAAGGCGTGCAGAAAAAAGCCATAAAATGTTCAAGGGCTGGAAAAAATGCCTTAAAATATGAAATGTGAGACACTTGATTTGTTTGGTTTAGCTAAAGGAACACTGCAAGATGGCTTGGTTACAGCATTTAAGTAGTTACTTTCACAAGGAGAAAACTCCAGGTATATTCTCCTTGTGAAAGGGCTGTTCAGAGTAGTGGTGACAGACTAACAAGAACCAGCCACATTCAAATTAGAAATCAGGCACAATTTTTTTAGTGGTGAAGCAAGGCTGGATGCCTTTCTGGAAAATAGGCTTTAGTCAAACACATGTTATTGAGCCCAGTGCCAGGGGTAACTGGGTGAAATTCAATGGCCTGTGATGTTCAGGATGTCAAGCTCTGGTACAAATAAGGCACTCTGGGCTTATTCAGACTACATGTAGCTGGACACATCATGCTGTGAGCTTCATGAGCTCTACGCTTTCTGCAGTCTGACTGGCCCCCTAGCAGTCAGTCCTTAGTGAAGTGTACACTTAAGTGCTCCTGCAGTTTATGGTGCACTTAAAAGTTTCACAGTGTGCTTTCTGACAACCAAAATGGGCAGCACAGTCTATTTTTTCTCTAAAGAGAAGTTTTGAATAGATACTTATGGAAGGCTGTTTTTTTCCCCCTGTCTAGACATGATTCTTTGTGATTAGATTTGTAAGGCAACCATTATAGCTAAGATAGCACATGTGTCCTTGGGTTTCCAATACGAGCTTCTTCTCAGAGCAGTCTGTGCCTGTAGCAATTGTTTCTGAAAGTTAACAGTATGTGGGAAATATCTGACACTCACATCTTCAAGGTTACAGCTACACTGAACATTTGAGAAGCATTTGAAACTGCACTTGAACAGAGACAGACACAGAAATGCATCAGGAGTAATGAAACAGGCATATCAGAGCTAACTGAACATTGCTCAGGGATAGTTTATAATCTCTGAGCAATGTACACTTACTTTATATTTATACACACACATATATAGATACATACATATATACCTGGATATGCTTGTGTGTATATACACACACATATACATGCATTATATATATATATATTTATAATATATATATATTTATATATATATATATATATATAGTGTGTGTGTGTGTGTGTGTATAGACAATTGCATCTATCTATCTATCTATCTATCTAGTTGTCTTTTTTGAGAGAACTCTCATGGGCTCCTTTTTTCCCCAAAGCAGGGGGAAAATCCATGAAAACCTGTAAGAAAATCAGACACGGGGAAAGGCATGAGAAGCCTGTGGGAAATGTAACGTGAGACAACACAATAGGGAAAATAAAGCTGGTTAGAACCTCCCCCACTAATTTATCAGAGCGAGCTCAGAAGTGGGGTTTTGTTTTGCTATCACTGATAGAGGCATCCAAGCCATACACAATAGGAGATGAACAGCATATATTTATGTCCTATTTAACCATGAGTCTATTTAAGCACCCATGGTGCTTGTACACATGATGTCATTACCATGTACACGTGACAAAAATGTCACGTTGTGTGGCTTAATGATGTCACGCTGTACACGTGCAGGAGTTTTGGGGGGTTTACATGAGTTTTCATCATTGCAAACTAAACCACATCCTGATAGTTTGCAGACTAAACTACCTGGCCCACTAGCAGCCCACCCAGGCAGCCCCAGGGGGTGCCACCACTGCAGAGGGAAAGACCCGGGCCCTCCGCAGCTCAGGGACTGCTCAGCCGGCTGGCTGCTCGCCCCCTGGCTGCAGGCAGGCTCTGCCAGGAAAAAAAAAGGATCGGGCCCCTTGCCATAACCGCAATGGAAACCTCTCAGTTGAAATGGTGGGTTTCAGTTAAAAACCAACTGTTTCAATTTAGGGGGCACAGAATGGAACCCTAAAGACTGACCCCCCTCCCGTGTACAAGCGCCCGGGCTCAGAATCTGAGCTGGAATGAGCTCTAGCTGCTCTTCCCCATCCCGCCACTGTGTGTGAGCTGCTGCCCTCTAGTGGCACTTTCAGCAATTGACACAGCATCTTGAAATTGCAAGTGTGATAGTCTGCCCTTGGGGCCAAAGATCCTGGATTCTCTCCTATGAGTGCTTCTGTTGAGCACCATGATTTGTATTTGTCTGCAGCACGTGGGCCTGTTACAGCTGCACAACACTGAGAACATAGGCCGAGACAGTGTCAGGCTGGCTTACGGGAGTCAGTAAAAATGCAAAACTAGCCAGCATGTTTGCCAGAGGTTCACAATTTTTTGTTTTACCCAGGCTCCAGGAGATGCCTCCCTTTTCCACCCCTCCCCTCACACACACTCACCTGCGCTGACCGTTATGGCTTCCATGAACTGGTCCCTCCAGGAATGTGTCCCTACAACCAAAGCCAGGTTTGTCTTCTTAATCAGCTTGTCCACAGTACTCTGTCAATAGCATAAAAAACAGGACAATTAACCAGCTTAGAAAACACTCACCAAGCTGAGCAGAGGGAGAGGGAGGCAGTGGAGGAAGCACTCCACCTCACATACAAAGCTCATAGACACAGGCTCGTGGCTAGATTTGTGATCCTCTCCTACTCCTATGCAGCTTAGCATGTCCTCAAGCCTCTCTCCCTCAGCTGCTGTCTGCTCCCTAGGCAATTTAGACAGAGGTGATTCTGCCTTGAGCAGAGGGTGGGGTTAGATGGTCTCTCAAGGTCCTTACCAGTGCTTTTTTTCTGTGATCCTCTACCTTTAAGCCAGGCCCTTTCATTTCTGCTTCATCCTGCTTTATCCCTAGTCACATGAGAATCTTTGCTCTTCCTCCTCTCTCTAAAGTAGCAACTCGCTGCCCTCTCTATATGGTCCTCATTTACCATCCCTGCATCTCACCTCTGGTTTCTCGTTTCATCCTTCTCTCAAGCAGTCTGCTCGACCAGCTGCTTTCCCCTTTCTTTTTTTGCAGGCTTCTGTCTCCCACTTTCCCCACTCACTAAGGCTATCCTCATTCTGTCTTCTGCCTGCTTTCTCTGCTCAGGGTGTTCCTATATCCCTTCTCTCATGTGAAGATATTCTCAGTAGCTTGGGGAATCTCCTCCTGGTACATCGGCACTGACCTTGAATTCGTAGGACTCCTCAATGATGACTTCTAGTTTAGGGTGCTCGCCCAACACTGGCTTGCCCATCTCTGCGATCCGCTTGGCTTCTTCCTCTTCAACTGTCAGCTTCCTGTCTGCCACTTCTGAGAAAATAACATTATAGTTTCATAGTAGGTAGGGTCGGAAGGGACTAGAGCAGATCATCAAGTCCACCCCCCTGCCATGGCAGGAAAGGATGCTGGGGTCAAACAGTAATCCTTAACTGTAGACAGGAGCTTTTAGACTCTCAGCACCTGGTGGGGGGCACTGGGTAGATATTGCGACACACTTATATACTCATTTC